CGTGGATGCTCACGCAAGATTTCGCACAGTACTGCCGCGCCGGTGTATGGTACGTCACATTTCTCATGCTCGCAGTCTCGGCACTCGCGTGCGTCTACATGGTCGCGACGCGGGGCATCTTTGAGGGACTCAACATGCTCGAGCTCTCGCGGGTCGGGGGCATCGTCTGGGTCGGCCGGCCACTCCTCTTTCTTCGGTCCATGACGGCGCTCTGCCTCCTCTCGACCGCTACGTTTGAGCTCCAGACGTCTGGCTACCGCAGCTACTTTGCGGCCGTGCCCACGCCGTGGTACAAGATTGCGCTCGCGGCCGGCGAGGTCACGTGGCTCGTCTCGGTCGTCAACGACGTTGCGCTCATCGTGACGAAGGAGTACTCGATGTACTATACAACTGCCAATAGCATTCTTGTGTGGCTTATTGTTGCGACTCTCGCGGGGGCGTTTCCCGTTGAAGCCACTGTGAGCTTGCACCCCACGTGCGTTCTCGCCCAAGTTGATTTTCAAGCGGTTTGCAATAGCGGTACGATTGCGATCGGCCAGCGCGACCGACTCTTGTTGCTGTCTGGGATCGTTGTCGGCTGCAACATTATTTGCTTTGGCGTCGTGCGCGTGTACATGGAGAGGCCAAAGACCCGCGTGCGCTCGCTCTTGCTCTCGAGCGGCGCCAAATTCCTCTTTGCGCACCACAACCGCATCGTCCAGGACGTCTACTACCTCGACCGCGCCTCGGCCGCCCTCGCTGGCATCATTACCTACCGCCAAGGACGACGCATGTTCATGCTCGACGTCAAGCTCTGGCGGCTCTTCTCGACGCCGCTTTCGCTCGGCAACAAGTCAAATTCGATGCTGGATTCGGCGCTACCGCTCTGCAATCCAAAGTAGAAAGATAAGGACATACGTCGTTTCACTTCAACTTCAAGACACTACAATCTGACGTTTGAATATGCATATCTATATGTGTTGTTTGGGGTCTCGAGTCTGCCCCACTCACTGCCTTCCCAGCGATCGATCGGAAGATTGCCACGGGATGGAAGCGACACCCGCGCTCTCAAGTCAAGGGCCGACGACCAGCATGTATGGTGCTGACTTTGGCCTC